ATTTTAGTCCACTCTTTTCGGACTTAGACTTTCTAGTTAGACTTACTCGTATGTTTAGTTTGGGTTGTACCCATTTTACTTAGACTTGTTGAGCTTTAGATGTTTTGGTACTTTGACTTTCAGATTCTAGAGGTGTTTTCTGCAATGTTTTAGTAATGATTTGTTAGACTTTCGGAGTTTATGGGAACTCCACTTTATTTCTGCATTTAAACCTGCTTCCGTATCTTTAAGTGTTTAGTTTTTGGGTTAGCTGATTAGTATTCATGGTTTTCCCATCGGGGGTTGTTTGTCACGACCCGAGAGCACCCTCTAGTTGTAACACGGCGTACTCGACCCCGAAGGGGTCTAATACAAGCCTCATAGCTTATTCATTGCATAAGATACTTGAAAATAGAGAAGAATTAAAAACTTTCTTTACAATCGAAGACATCTTCATTAAATAGCAAGCGGAAGACTTTCTAAACTTTATACACTATGTCTCAAACCACCTAATACTTTGAATACAACATTGGGACTTAGCCCATACAAAACTTTAACAAAACTAAAAGACATAAAAGGAACAAAATGGATTTTGTCCTCGAAACTATAAGGACTCACCAAGTCTTCATCTTCAAGCACCTTAGAAACCTATCCTTCAAGCATAGAACACCAACATCTCCAGAGCCTATACTTTGGTAAAAGGGAAAACGAATGGGGTTAGTACATTAGATGTACTAAGTATGATGACCATGCAAAAACATGCTTGAAAGGGGACATTTGAGTTGAAAGTCATGCTTTTATGCCATTTTTGTAAAACTTCATGAACATTGATACAAGAGGCATAATATAAGTCGCAACCAACATACAAAGTCACATAATTCACATTTGAACAACGTCACATATAAACCCTTACCTTCACTTGGAGCCTCCACCTCAAGTTACCCTCAAGCTATACCTTGTGCAATGTATGGATAACGTCCCATACCACCATCCACACCAAGGCATCACCTTAAGGTCACCAAAAGTGAACTTACCATTTATCATGCTTCATATTACAAGTAATCATGCTCAACCAGTACCAACATACAACACATAAACATATTCATCAAGTAAGTCATTTCATGATCTTAGGACCTCCATCTAAAGTTACCCTAAGACAAACCTAAGTAAGACATGAAGTGGCAGCCCATACTACCTCTTCATACACACCTAGATATTCCTCAAGGCTACAATAGACAAGAACCTTTATATTTCAACATAGCATGCTAAGTATCTCATTTCATCCATATAAGCTACTCATTCATCATTTCATTTAGACAATAAGTCAACATTCTTCATTAAAATCATTTAGGACACATTCATGCATTTAGATGACTTTCATTCATTAGCCATTAAGGCTTAGAGAACTCGCTATAGTACCCTCAAAGCCTACTCGTGCAATGTATATATAGCATCCCATACTACTACCTACACTTTGTAGTACCTATCAAGTAACTAGAGTGCACATCTCACATGATGGGAATAAGCGCTTAATCGACATAGACCATGCAAGCTAGACATGGAATATGGTGTCATCCCTACACCGTAAAGAGGTGGTCTCCTTGCCGAAGGAAGACCGGTAGTATTAGCTTGGATGCACATTGGATCCATTGGCCAATATCCTATGAGGGCACATAGTTATGTGATATGAAGATGTTCATTGGAACCCTAGCCTAACATTGGGAGAGTTTCCATTTTACCATATCCACTCGGTGCTTAGCCTACATTCCCATAGATTATTTCATTCACATTACATTAGTGTATTAGGGAGGAATGCCATAGGCTATCGACTCATGATACATTATTACCATGGAAGGAATGCTATAAGCCTATCGATCCATGGTACATTCAAACATAGCTCTAGGGTCCACATGAAAGAAATGCTATAAGTCTATCGATTCATGGTCCCTCATTACATTCTTATACTCATGAAAGGAATGCCACTAGCCTATCGATATATGGTACATTGACTCATTAAGAAAGGAATGCCACTAGCCTATCGATTCTAGAGTCTTCATTACATTAGATCATTTATAAACAGAATGCATAAAGCCTATCAATTCATAGCCATCAAGTCAAGACACATTCATCACTCATATATTAAAGGAATGCTGTAGCCTATCGATTTATATTCATCAAGTCAAGACACATTCACTAATTATATATGAAAGGAATGACATAACCTATCGATTCATATTTATCAACTACAATATAGAAACCCTTCATATTCATCATTATCACTTATGAGTGTCAAATTGAGAAATAACCTTTCAATACCAACACAAATACATTGAATACATGTTCATCATTCTATCATTGAATCACATGTAAGTCCTTCACATTATACAATCATATACACAACATCATGACAATACTTCAATTCCTCATATAATATCTTCAAGGCCATGATCACAATGTGCATGTAAGTAAACACCTCCACCTTTCAAGTGGATCAACAATTCAAGAGTAATTCTACTACATGAGAATTAGGTCACAACTTACCCTTCTCCAAATTCATACTCACCATTACTCAAATCTCCAACAATTCACCATAGATTGGCATATATAATAATAGAAATCAATAATACAACTCAATCTAAGCATAATTCCATCAACATTCATTCATAATCATAAAACCCACTTCATAAGCCAAATTTAGGAATTTAGAGAAATCATGGGTTCATAGAGTTTTTCATATTAAAACCATCAATGAAACATCAATCTAATCATAGTTTATCATTTGAAAATGTTTGATGCAAGAACCCATGAGTTTGAGTGAAATCTAGGTTTTTGGTGAAACTTGCAAACCTTGAAAACATCTTTGAAATTGACTCTAGAGTGAAAAATAACCCTAGATGAAGGATCACCATACCTTTTAATTGAAGAATCCCACGAAATTGGAGTAGAAACACTTTGAAATCCCCAACCCTAGCTTGAACTTGACCTGGACATTCAATGGAATTCTAAAGAGAACTTTTAGGAGAGAAGGGTTTGATTTGAGAGATGAAATCTAAATGAGGGTTTTAATGTTTAAATATTCTTAAAATACCTTAATACACTTAAAATAATGACCCACATTCTTAAAATATTTAATTGACAAATTACTAAAAGAACCTCACTTGGCCGTGAAGTGAAGTGAAGAGTATGCGTCAGTACTTGGAATGTACTGAGCATGTAGGATATAAATAATAGCTGAACAAAATATATATAAGCTAAACAAGTATAACTGGGTAACAATGTATTACTGAAACATACTGAAAAGCTAAACTGAATGCAATGACGAAGTTCAAATCATGAACATGACATGCTGATTGGATATTGAGGTATATATTGAAAACCTAGTCAAATGCACTAGTAGTCTCATTGTGGGAGCTATTATTAACCGACATAAAACCACGTGAGCTAAATGTGGAGTCCGATGTATACGCCCCATCAAGATGACCCAATATACCTTGCCAAGGGTATAAAAACATGACTGGAGTGATCACTAAATATGATGCCCACAGAGGGGACTTATATCATACGGAGGCACGTAGTTCTGGGACTATAAGGGTACACTGAACCCTAGTCCAACTCGGTGCCAAGCCTACTTCCAACTGGAAATGTGTATGAAACAACATAACTGAAATACTAGATACCTCTATGTTCTGACATGCAAATATTAAAATGCAACATTTAGGAACTGACAATGTAACATTAGAAAACTGGAGCATGTTTATCTGTTTAACTAACCTAGCAAGTGTAATTCATGAACTATCCAAGAAAACATGATAATTTGATTGTGAATACTACAACAGCTAAATCACCACAATTATCGAAGGTTTTATTAATTCTAGGTCTAAACAAGATATAGATAATCAAGAATCTGACTGAATTCTAGGGACCTTGTTGATGAAAGGTATCCACTAGTGAAATCCCACATACCTGGTGACAAAATCTACGGAGAAATCCTTCGATTACAAAGTTGGAACTAAAGAAAACCTTTTGGTTGTTCTTGGGAAACTGAAGCATCTTTCTTCTTCTTTTTGCTCTAAGTTTGGATGATTTTTGGTGAATAAAGGTTCTGGGTGTGTCTAACTAAGTTATTAGGCTTAAATTGAGTAAAACGACGTAGTTTAGGCATCAAACGACGTAGTTTAGGCATCAAACGACGTAGTTTAAGTGCCCAACACATAAGGGAAAGAACAAAAACGACCCTGACTTAAATCTAACGAGTGCTACCTACTACAGGACTGACGGACCATCGGTTGACCTACTAACCGTTAGTAGGAGTCGTCGGTCAAGCTCTGCCCTCCAGGGCTTGACTAAAACGAGCATAACTTTTTACTCGGAGATGAGATTTTAGCAAACTAGGATGTGTTGGAAAGTGGATTCAATTATCTTTCATTTGATAGGTGATGGGCCACCTAAACCATTATATGCTAAAATATATGACCGTTTGAAGTTGACCTAACAACTATTTTCCTCTGAATAACTGTTGACACTCACCTACGGTCCTACCATGAACCGTACTGGTCGACCATGGGTGGGATCAGAGACCATCAACTTTGGACACCAATGACGGCCTCCACCTACGATCCATGGGTCCATCGATGGATCGTGGCCTATGACCATAGGTCTCATCCTTTGGTCCTGAAATTCTTCTATGTCTAGGATTGAACCACGGAACCCCACCTACGGTCTGTGGTTCTACCTAAGCTCTATCGGTGGCTTCAGTCTGGAAAGCTGCATTTTTCTATTTTTCTCAAATCCGAGGTGTTACAATATCTCCCCCTTAGGAAAGGTCTCCCTCGAATGAAGTCTAAAAAAGCTGAGTATGTAGGGAAGGAGCTCCAATCCCTACCACTAAGTACTAGAAACTAATATCTAACTGAACTGAGTTCCAAAAACAAGAAAATATGCCGAAATGCAAGAATATTCGAAGGAACAAGATACTGAGACTGAATTACACAAGAGTAGACTCAGAGACTAGAGAGGAACTATTACCTTAAGCTAGAATGGAATTGTAAGGAAAGAGGCGAGGATACTTGGCCATCATGGGCTGCTTCTGCTTCCCAAGTAGCTCCCTCTACGGGTTGACTCCTCCACGAAACATTTACTGAAGCGACTTTCTTATTTATCAACCTACAAATCTGACAGTCAAGAATTTCAACGGGCACATCTTCATAAGTGAGACTATCCTTCACAACCACACTCTCAAATGGTACTAATGATGCCAAACCACCAACACACTTCTTCAACAAGGAAACGTGAAAGACTGGATGAACCTCTGCTAGTTCTGGTGGTAACTCTAACTCCTAAGCCAAATTACCAACCCTTTTCAGGATTCTATAATGACCTACATATCTGGGACTGAGCTTCACTTTCTTGCCAAATCTCATCACCCCTTCATAGGTGACACCTTTAGCAAAACCCAATCATCGATTTCGAACTCCAAGTCCCCTCTCCTCACATCTGCATATGACTTCTGATGACTCTGAGCTGTCTTTAGTCTATCTCTGATGAGCTGAACTTTTTCCATAGCTTCATGAACCAAATCTGACCCAATCAAGGTTGCTTCACCTACTTCAAACCAACCAATCGGGGACCTGCATCTACGCCCATATAGTTCCTCATACGGGCCCTTCTGAATACTATAATGAAAGCTATTATTATAGGCAAACTCTATGAGAGGTAGGTGATCATCCCAACTACCCTTGAAATCGATCACACAAGCTCTCAACATGTCCTCTAAGGTCTGAATGGTACGTTCTATCTGGCCATCCATCTGTGGATGAAATGTTGTACTGAGATTTACCTAGGTACCAAGACTTTTCTAAAACAGTTTCCAGAAATGAGAGGTAAAATGAGGACCTCTATATGAGATGATAGACAAGGGAACCCCATGCAACGTGATTATCTCATTGATATAGATTTTGGCGTAGTCCTCCACTAAATCTGTAGTCTTGACAACCAAGATGTGAGCAGACTTAGTGACTCGATCTACTATCACCCAAATGGAGTCATATTGTCTACGAGTACGAGGTAAACCCGTAATAAAGTCCATTTTTATCAGTTCCCACTTCCATTTACGAATGTTAATCTCTTGAGTCATACCTCCTAGTTTCAGATGTTCTACCTTAACATGGAGTTATGAGCTTTTGTAAGGATATGCTGCCTCAACTCATCAACATTAGGAACACATAAACGACCTTGGTAACGAAGCACACCATCTCCCCCTTGGGACAAAATGTCAACTTTTTGCTAATGAACTGCACCACTCAACTGAAGTAATGTAGGATCACTATCCTGTTTTTCCTTAACCTCCGCTACCAATGAAGATTCTAATCCATTCTGAACTATAACCCTACTTTCTAATGTGTCTGGACGGGAAACTCCTAAGCGACTAAGCCGGTGAACATCTTTGGCTAACTCTTTCCATTCTTTCTCAACATGTGTTACACTACCCATAGACAACTTGTTGAGAGCATCAACCACTACATTGGCCTTACAAGGATGGTAAAACACATTCATGTCATAGTCTTTGAGGAATTCAAGCCATCTCCTCTGACAAAGATTCAACTCTTTATGGGTGAACACATACTAAAGGCTCTTATTATCTGTGAATATATCTACATGAACACCATACAAGTAGTGTCTCCAAATCTTAAGGGCAAATACTACAACTGCAAGTTCGATGTCATGAGTTAGGTAGTTCTTCTCATGGACCTTATGTTGTTTAGAAGCATAAACTATGACCTTACTTCACTGCATCAATACACAATCTAGGCCGACCCTGGATGCATCACATTAAATCACATAACTGTATGAACCATTTAGTAGAGTCAAGACAGGAGTTGTAGTCAACCTAGTCTTCAGTTTTGAGAAACTTTTCTCACACTCATCTGACCACTAAAACTTGATCTTTTTCTGAGTCAACTTTGCCAATGGGGAAGCTACGGATGAAAATCCTTCAACAAATCTCCTATAATACCCAACCAAACCCAAGAAACTTCTATATTTGTTAGGGAGGTGAGCTTGGGCCAGTGTTGTACTGCCTTAATATTCTGAGAATCTACTCAGATTCCTTCGCTGGATACAACATGACCAAGGAAAGCAACAGACTGTAAACAAAATTTACATTTGCTAACCTTAACAAATAGTTGGCGATCCTTGAGAGTTTGCAGAAAAACTCTCAGTTGAGTCGCATGCTCCTCCTCATTCTGAGAATAAATGAGGACATCATCAATAAAGACAATGATGAACAAGTCCAAATACTTTTTGAACACCCTGTTCATTAAATCCATGAAAGTTGTAGGAGTATTAGTTAGTCCTAAGGACATAACTACAAATTTATAATGACCATATCGAGTTTTGAAAGTTGTCTTCAGGATGCCACTATCTTTGACTCTCTGCTGATGATAGCTAGATCTGAGGTCTATCTTAGAAAAGTAACTAGCACCCTGAAGTTGGTCGAACAAGTCATAAATCATGGGGATGGGATACTTATTCTTGATTGTGACTTTGTTCAACTACCGATAGTCACTGCACATTTTGAGGGAACCATCTATCTTTTTCACGAACAACCCTAGAGAACCCCATGGAGATATACTGGGTTTGATGAATCCCTTATCTAGTAGGTCTTTCAATTGCTCTTTCAATTCCTTAAGCTCGGCTGGAGCCATTCTATAAGGAGGAATTGAAATGGGCTGGGTGTCTAGAAGGAGATCAATTCCGAAGTCGATTTCCCTTTCGGGAAGATCTTCTTGGAACACTTATAGAAACTCATTTACTATTGGGACTGACTCAAGAGTTGGGGTTTCGGAGCTTGAATCCTTAACCCGAAGAAGATAATAGACATACCCTTTGGAAATCATTTTTCTGGCCTTAAGGTAAGAGATCAATCGACCTATACGCACTGAGCTACTACCCTTCCACTCTAAGACTGGCTCGTTTGGAAACGAAAACCGAACGATTCAGGTTCTACAATAGACTGAGGCATAGCAGGAATGTAACCAATCCATGCCTAGAATGATGTAAAAATCTACCATTTCTCATTCTACAAGTTCTGCTGAGGTGACTTTCTAAGAGACTGTAAAAGGGAAATTTCTATATACCCGTCTAGCTGGGTCACAAATTATAGTAGAGATTGAGAAGGGTTCTGAGAGAGTTTCTGGACTGACACCGAATTTTACTGCTATATAGGGAGTTACAAAAGACAGTAAAGCCCCTGGATATAACAATGCATAAACATCTAAATGAAAGACTTGGAATCCTCTCACTGTTGGTACCAAGTGTAGGCCACTCCCTTCAACCAATAGGTGTCCAAACCTGAACTCTCAACTGGAGTGACACCCATAATGCCTATTACCTTCTGGATGTCGCTGAGAAACTCCTATGGATCCTCTCCTAACTTAGACCTATGAAACTCCTGAGGGTTTATCCGAGTGAAATCCTGGATTCTTACTACTGTATTGTTAGTCTGCGGTAGAGCTGGGGCCACAACTTGCTGATTGACTTAAGCGATTATAGTCTGAGCAAGAACTTGGAAAGCAGCCCTGAACTCAGTATGCGTGGCTTGCTCATTCAATGGGTCTATTGAAGTTGTTTGATGATTCCTTGTGTTATCTCTTTTGGGAGGCATTTTCCAAACGTGAAGAGTAGGAGTTAGAAGGATATTAAATAGAGTTCATACTCTATCACACGAGTTGGAAAAGAAAGAAGGGAATTTTTTCTTAGAACATTTTGTAGCCTCTCCATCATAAATGTGGCACGCTTCACAACCATGAAACTTAGTGCGACATTCAGACATCCTAGAACTGTTGAACCTAATGCTCTGATACCAAGTTTGTCAGCCCCAGGGATACCCTCTTGACGGAACACGGGACTTAAGATCACGAGTGACCCCAAGTTAACCGTGTCTCTAGTATATCATAAGCATACTAAAAGATAACTAATTAAACACGAACTATGCAAAAGTTAAATCAATAGATAACTCAAAGTGGAGGATACCCAACTAATCTAAATATATAAAATATACTAAGAGTTTAGAGATACTGAACAGTCACTTATAAGCTAAATCTAAATCTACTACTATGTCTGAAAAATCCTTTACTGAATAGAGCTGTTGGGACATGCCCCCAGCTAACCCTAGCAAATCTGAAATTGAAATAAAAGACTGAATATGAAAGATATGTCTATTGTCCTCAAAGTATGAGGACTCACCACTGAAGTTATTGAATACAGATCGGGGACCGATCTATGCATGATCTGGATGTTGAGTACCTGAAACTACATCATGAAAAGATGTAGCGCAAATTATGCGTTAGTACTTGGAATGTACTAAGAAGGCAGGATATAGATAATCGATGAACAAAATATATATAAGCTGAACAAGTATAACTGAGCAAAAATGTTAATACTAAAACATACTAAAAAGCTAAACTGAATGCAATGACCAAGTGCTAATTATGAACATGACATGCTAACTGAATATTGAAGTATATACTGAAAACCAGGTCAAATGCACTAGGAGTCTTACTGTGGAAGCTACTATTAACCGACATAAAACCACGTGAGCTAAACGTGACGTCCGATGTTTACGCCACATCGAGAAGACCCAATATACCTTGGCAGGGGTATAAAGGCATGACTGGCATGGTCACTAAATCTGATGCCCATATAGGGGACTTATATCCTTAGGGGGCACATAGTTCTGGGACTATGAGGGTACGCTGAACCCTAGTCCAACTCGGTTCTAAGCCTACTCCCAACTTGAAATGTGTATGACATAACATAAATTAAATATTGGATATCTCAATGTTCTGACATGCAAATATGAGAATGCAACACTTTGGAACTGACAATGTAACATTCAAAAACATGAGCATATTTATCTGTTTAACTTACCTAGCAAGTGTAATTCATGAACTAAGAGAATCTACACAAATAGGGTTCTGAGTTTTATGCAAGTAACTAAGCCAACTTTCCAAAAAAAAACATGATAATTCAATTACAAATACTACAACATCTAAATCATAACAATTATCGAAGGTTATAGAAACCCTAGGTCTAAACAAGATATAGAGAATCAAGATATGACCGTTTGATGTTAACCTAACAACTATTTTCCTCTGAATAATTGCAGACCCTTACCTAAAGTTAGACCTACGGTTCGTAGGTCCAACCACGGACCGTTGTGGTCGACCGTAGGTGGGATCAGAGACCATCAACTTTGGACCCCAACGACAGCCCCCACCTACGGTTTGTGGGTCCATCGAAGGACGATGGCCCACGATCGTAGGTCTCATCCTTCGGTCCTGAAATTCTTCTAAGTCTAGGACTGAACCACAGAACCCCACCTACGGTCTGTGGTTCTACCTACGGTCCATCGACGGCTTCCGTTGGTTCTGACACTAGATCCTAGAAAGCTGTATTTTCCTATTTTTCTCGAATCCGAGGTATTACAATTTAACTTCATTCAAAAACCCAATTGAAAAATCCTCAAAACAAAGTCTCAAAAAAAATGCTCAAAGTTATACA